GAGAGAGAGAGAGAGAAAGAGAGGGTGGAGTAGATGAAAGGACTATGTGACCGAACAAGTCATTAACGATTAAATTTTTTATACTTTTTCTTATGTAATACTACCCAGATCACTTACAAGTGTCTTAATACAATATTTGAATCAAATAAAATGCAAGAATGCCAAGGATTCTCACTTGCTTGCCATCAAAAAACAAAAATAACTTTCATAACATGAATATGAAAATTACATAAAGATGCAATTGGATCAAGAAAGCATTAAACATGAAAATACTACATACCTGGCCTCAAGTTACTCCCAAAGACTTCGTGCACCCCACACTGGGTCTCCTCCCCCAATTGTGTATGGGAACTAGGTTCAAGAACTTGTGTCACAACTTGGGAAGTCTAGGCCCAAACTGGCAGAAAACATGACATGGGATATCTATACCAAGGCTCAACACATGTGCATGCGCCTAGTACCTATGACTGAGCTTTGCGGCTTGGGCATGCCACCTTTTAGGTTTTTTTTTCTCTCTAATCCCTAATCTTTGTAGAGAGAAATAAAGAGAGATCAAAGAGGGGCCTGTCACGCCTTAGGCTTAGGGAGAGAGGGAGAGATTATGATATGAAGTGTAGAGAATGAGCCCCCCTTAGCTAGTTTATATAAAATAAAGGCTAGGGTTTCTAGAGTTAAGGTTTTGCCATCATTATGAGACTTAATCTTAACCTTTGATTTTGGAGACCTGTGGGATGAAGAGATCTTATCCATTTATTCCTTAGATAAACTATTATGATTAAAAGAATGAGACGGAACCATTGTCCTTCGGTTTCCATATTTTTATTCCCATCAAATATTGTGTAGAGAAAATACTAAATCAATTTCAATTAATTCGTACACTCTCTTTATGAAATCAATTAAAATCTCTACACCATACTTTCCTAAAATTCGCAAGTCAATTGCATGCCTTATGACACATGGCACAAAATAGGAAAGTGAGAAAATAAGGTGGGGCGCACCACCCTAAGGGTGGCCATGTGGGCCCTACGCCCTACTAATTGGTGGGACCATTGTACCTCAATGGGCCTCCAATACTTTAAATAAAGTTTTCAGATATTAAAATAATTTTTATAAAGTCACTAAATATGTTATTTTCCTCTCTGATTAAAATAAATCCATAATTTTTTATTTAAAAATTATTTTTCAATTAAAAAATCCCATATAGGTCTAAAAATTTATTTTAATTATTTAAAAATAATTAAAATATATTAAAACATATTTAAGAACACTTGATGGGAATTAGATTCATATAATTAGGATTACAACAAATATATTGAAGACTCTATCATTTCTAGAGACCATATCTCACTGCATTATCAAATTGGCCCAATAGTTTCCATGACCCACAACCTTTTGTAGAGGTTCGTGATTAGACTATCCAAGTCAGCTAATAAATGAAGAAGACACTATTCTAGTCTATGGATTACAGGTCCCACCTTTGAGGACAAGTTTAGGCCCCATTTTAGCACTATGCTTCATGGGTCCTTTTTGCACATGCTAATGTTGCAGGGTGTCATCTCTTCTGCACATGTACACATCACACACCCTTATCCAAATGGGCGCTTACTGGACGACTATTTAGTGTGCATGTCGCGTGATAGTAATAATGGGGTTTTAGGCTCTTGTCCTCTCCAGCCAACTAGTACACATATGGTTCACATCTAGTCCTCTAGTGTATCTATCCTGGGCACAACTTCGACCTTATCAACGGATAACCTCACATTGAAACCCTTATCCGTTGTGCTCACACAATGCTCCAGACTACGGGTTTTTAGACATCACCTTGAGTCATAGCTTGTCAAAACTCAAGTGAGTCTCGACATAAACAATGCCTAATAGTCCAGAGTAGACTACACTCCCACTGGAGCCAATATTTCACTATATAATTTTAGTACATGCTCTCATGAGGCCTTTGGATGGCCACATAACCCCAATAGTAGAAACATAGAGCTAGAGAGAGTGTTTGAAAGGGGAGAGAGGGAACCACAATGAGAGAAAAAGACGAAAAGGGCATAGAGAAGGTAGGGGGGAGAGAGAAAGTACTAAAGAGAGAGAGACCATGAGGGAGAGAGAGAGGTTGAGAGAAGTGGCTTTCAAGACCAACATAAGACACACCATGAAGGGCCTCAAACCACCACTATAAGTAGGGATCCCAAGCTTGCACACCCCAACTCCTTTGTTTACCAAAACCCAATTTTATCATTCAATGTGAGCCTCTAAACCAGGTGAGATCGTGAGTGTTTATGTGTGTGTGTGTGTGTGAGAGAGAGAGAAAGAGAGATAGAGAGAGAGAGGGAGAGAGAGAGATACCTTGAGCCATAAAACTTAGAAAGAGACTGTGCGAGAGGGAGTAGAGAGAGGGATTCTGAAAGATTGGGGGGATAGAGACCGGGTGAGAGAGATAAAAGAAGGATAGAGGGATGCAAAAAAAAAATCCAAAAAATACACAAAAATAACACTAACATGGATGCATTGTAGATATGTGGTTCTTTGATGGGGACTAAAATTTCAAGTGATTTGGATTGTAGAAAAACAATTAAAAGTAAATACAAAATACAATCGTGACCGTCAGATTGGCCCAGATTCAATCGGGGCTATTGGGCATATACTATTGCATTAACCCTCGGGTGTGTAAAAAGTACTCCATATATATATGTGCTATTATCATCATCATCATCAGTGCCTTATCTCGACTATTTGATGTTAGCTACACGAATCAGTTTCTGCCATTCTGCTCTATCAAGGGACCATAAGTTCCGATGTCTTTTCTCACTTCTTCCATCTATTCCCTTTTGGGCCTTCCCCTTGCCCTTTTAGAGCATTCCACTTGAACCAAATCGTACATTTGAACCGGTGATCTATGCTTTCTACATTGCACATGACATGCCCACTTAAGTCTATTTTCCTTCATCTTATTGTCTACATACATATATATATATACTTTCATACATATACATATATATGTGTGTGTGTGTGTAGGTTAGGTTTACACAAGGTTGCCTCCTAGTACTGTAGAACTAAGCATGCTTCTAAATTTTATCTGGAGATGTAGTTTTAGTGTCAGATACTTTATGATGGCTTGAAAAATTGTATTCAACCCTAGTTATAAAATTGAAAATTTAAAAAATGATATATATCTTGCAATTCTATAAACACTCAAAAATCTTGAAAATAGACGGTCTAGATAACTTGTTACAAGATGCACTATTTTTTGGATTTATCTATATCCATACATCTCGAGGTTGAGATGATCGATTAGAGGGTTTTCCAATTCCGTAACACTCTTTTATACTGGATTTTTGATGTGCACCTTACTTCTATAGTTGTTGGGATCAAGAGAAGGAAAGGTAGCAGGATCGGGATCGGGATCGGGATCGGGATCGGGATCGGGAGGGGGGATTGTGAAATGCTCTCCTGCTCAAACTGGCTAGTCCAAGCTTGATCCATCTGAAGCCTATCTCATGCTTATCATACATTTATACAAGCTGGGCTTGAACATGTCAAAGTTCAACTCTGCTTAGCTCATTGCCGCCTAGACAAATAACATCTCATTGACCAATAAATTTAAGTCTTTTACTTTATTGGTGGCACGGTGAATTATAGGCTTTTGATGAGAATGACTCAAATATAGTCTTGAACGAAGTTTATTTTGTTGCAAAATATGAAAGCTGGTAGTCCTGGAAGTTCTTGTATTCGTGGCTGCTCCTAAATATCTCACCTTGTGGCGTTGTTTGATAATCACCTTTTTACGGCTGTCTTATGTCATGCTCACTGTTAAAATTTAGTAGTGAGGTATGGTAGTATGTACTGCACTAGTTAAGTGCTATTTAGGGTCTCGGTTTTTAACCAGATGGATCTCAGTCCTGAATAATTTATCATTCAATCCTGATAAAGTTTGGGTGGACCTCATCCACTTATATTGGGATAAAGATCCCGATTTTTCAGAGTGTACCGACCATGACCCCTAGCATAGGGAGCTTCCTACTTATCACGATCCCACAGTCCTGATCTCGAACCCGGATTTGATTCAATTATGGTTGCCATAACTATGTATGGGACCTCCTTTAATTCCCTTTTCATCACAATTTCTATTATTGTTGCCTTCATTTTTGATATTGTACTTAACGTAACGATTAATATTTATTTATTAATACATGTGTCCTTTTGCAGGAACAATTTGAGGCAAAGGAACACATGCTTATGCTCTTTCCGGCGGCTGTATTAGCTCTTTGTGCTGGTTGTGCTCCCTTTCCAACTAATGATAAATCTGTGGAGGTTATAAATTTTTGCAGTCTTATACCATTTGATGACTGGGCTAAGGTGTGCTGTGAAGCTTTGTCATTTCCTCGTTGTAATTAAATATGTACAGAAAAGATTATCTTCCTGTCCAAAATGGGTTTGTTGCATGCCTTCTATAACAGGTGAAGGAACCTGACCAGGCCATCGAGAATGAACTTAGCGCTTTGGATTGCTCTGAGGAAGTCTTGGCAGAAATTGAGACTGGCTTTTGTGTTGAGGTGCTCAAGTTTTTGTATATCTTGGTAGTCTTTGTGGTTGATTCCATGTGGTGTTTCATTTCTTAAACCATACTCTTGTATTTTTCAGGTGGATAACACAGAATGTTATTCAAATATACGTCTTCCTCGATCAATAGTGCGACTGCTTTTGCATGAATTTGAGGATGACTTCCTTAAAAAGCTTACCTCATATCATGAGATACAATTATCTTTGCCTGAACTTTTCCATCTATGCAACCTCCTTTGCAATGTTATTTATGGATTCATGTTTGCAAGGTGCGTTGTCTTCATCTTTGATCTGATTTTGTTTCAAGGGTCGATTTCTTAGGCCTTTTGTTCTCGCAATTGTGTCCACTGTCCCAGAGAAATTAACTTGCATTTCATTGAGCTGTTTTTAGTGAGGTAAAATAATTATCTTGTGGATAGTAAATGCAAATCGAGAAGCAGGAACCAGAAAAATGCCTTTACAACTAATATATTATTACAATGATACAATTTTTGAATTTCTCACCATTACCCGGAATGATAAGTTTGAGTAACTATCAAGGAGTTCCAGGCAGGATCTCAGAACAAGCACTAGAACTATGTGACTTGAAGGTAAGTGAAAAACTGGATGAAATATTTGCTTAGCACAAAACAGTCAGGGATGCCACTATTCATTTTGTTTTTGTTAGATCTTGTGTAATACACCAGATGATCTTTTTGGTTTACAGTTGGAAACAATACCAGATCAGGCACATATAGGTAGGTAGTTTTGATCATCGGCCAAAAAAAAAAAAGAACAAAAAAAGGAAAGAAATGGAATTCCTATATTATGACGATGTTGTTTAGTGTTTTAAGTTTCTCATCCTATTTTTTCTGTTTGTATGCAAAGTTTGGTACGAGAAACTTAATGTCTTTGCGACTTTCAGGAGAATGTGTCACTTTTACACCTTTTCTCTTAGGATTCTGTATTTTGGCTATCCGAACTCACTTGCCATTAATTGTTGGGAACTGGTGAATTTGAAGAACTTTAAATAATGTTTGAAATTATGGGACGTACAGGTGAGTCAAGGTTGTGATTGACCTAGCTAGATATATGTTTACTCTCCCATTTTTGGGCTTTGTGATGATTTATAATTTCTTGGGAGCATTTACTCTCTTTCCCAGGACTGTGGAAATGTCTGATTTCCTCATGTAGTAAGCGCATGAGTTAGGAATGACTCGAGTCAAGGTTGTGCTTGACCTAGCTAGATATATGTTTACTTTCCCATTTTTGGGCTTTGTGATGATCTATAATTTCTTTGGAGCATTAACTCTTTTTCCCAGGACTGTGGAAATGTCTGATTTCCTCATGTAGTATTAAGTGCATGAGTTAGGAAAGACTTGAGTCAAGGTTGTGCTTGACCTAGCTAGATGTATGTTTACTTTCCCATTTTTGGGTTTTGTGATGATCTATAATTTCTTGGGAGCATTTACTCTTTTTCCCAGGACTCTGGAAATGTCTGATTTCCTCATATAGTATTAAGTGCATGAGTTAGGAATGACTTGAGAAGTTGGCCACCATTCTTTGAGTATCTTGGTCATGGACTCTCTCACTCTCCTGTTATTCTCTTGTTTAATGCTTTATTTTATTTGTCATTTTAATGTTGAGGCCCATGGCATTTTGCAGGCTTAGAGGAGTAGAATCATTATTCCTCACCAAGATGCTTCAACATCTCTCTGAATTTTTAAAACATTCAATTGGTATAATTAAGGGTTATTATACTGAAATCCAAAATCGTCCTTGCTTGGGTTCTGGCCCCTTTGTAGCTATTGAAGGTTCAACTGTGGAAGCTTTTCAGAGCTTGATGTGCTCACCACTATTCAGTTCATTTATAAGCGAGAGGAGTTCTCTTCTTGATGAGCTATCCAAGAGTATTATTCCGGTAATCAACGAACTTTTGTTCGCTCTGGCAGATCTATTTCTCGAGTCCTCCAATTGTTCAGGGAATGAAGATTTTGAGATGGTAGTTTGTCATGAAAGTGACCTTGTTTGGAATGACGAAGAAGAGAATGGGGTTGATCTTGAGATGGAGTTGGATCAAGACGATTGTTCCAAAGACAAAGATTCATTAATTGCAAATATGTGCAATGTGTCAAGGACTGTTTTCTCTTTCGTGCAATGGAAGTTGGATTTGGTTTCTATTATTTCAAGTATCCACTCAGTTTTGCCTGTCCCTACTTGGGATATCCTGTTTAACCTCTTGGAAAAGGAAACAAATACGAAGGTGACTTTTTGCTCCCTATATTTTTGAAGGTAGTTTTATATTCAATCTATTATTGGATTTCCTATTTGTGAAAGATGCCCTGATGCAAGCTCATTCTTCCAGGTTCGTGAAAGTATTCTTTACAACCTTTGCAAATTATTTTCTGGTTCCTCACCAAGAAATATCTTGCGTCTGGTACATTTCTAACTTTATGAAAACCTTACCGATGCGAGTTTCTTGCTGAACATTAGGAAAGAATCAGTGTGCATGTTTAATACTAATAGGCTTCTTTTCTCATGCTGGTGTGGTATGTATATGTATGCCCCAGGTGAACTCATTCAATACGTTATTGGATGATCCCGAGAATTCTGAAGTTGATCCAGCTTGTATATTGACTTCTATTGATGCTTTTCTGGAGAGCTTGCTCTCTGCTGCCTCCGGAAGAAATAATGGGGACACAGAGCACTCGATAATGGGGAAGCAAGCTGAGCAGGTATCTATGCCTTTCCTGGGTGCATGAGATGGATGTTGCCTTTTGGTGGAAACCCCTTAGTACTTTTTATGACTGAAAATTACTGTTATTTTTGACATAAGTAACAAAGTAAAATTGATATTTTAGTGTAAACTTGTTATTAGTTGTCTAATACTTACAATCCATTCTTTTTCTGAACAAGAGTTTGAAAACATGCATCTGAAGTTTTCTTTACATACCTTGTTACGTTGAACCATATTTCTTTGCGTTATGGTTTGGACTCCTCTTGGTAAGACACCCTAATGTCATTTCATGACTGTGATAGTTGGGGTGACTGGTGATAAGGTATTTCCTGTCCACTCATGGCTTGGGTGGGTTACCATGTTGACATGCTATTATATTGTTTCTGGATGTCCTTTTATCACATAATGTGCTAATAATCGTTTTTATTACATCCGATCTTATTATGCATTGCCAAAGTTCGACTCTGAATGTCTTTTGTTTCTCTTTGCTTTCACACTCTTGTAATATTGGAGGTATATATGTATTGCTGAAAACAGAACTGAAAAAGGAAAGCTATCGTATACAGAGCTTTAGATTCCATGTGTTCCTCTCCATTTCTAACTTTAGTAGTAGCATCAAATCTATGATACAGGTTTCATTTTTTATTTAAATGAATTAAGTGGAATTCATTTCTGTAAAAAATTGGAAAGTTGGGGATGGTTTGAAGGAAGTTCTGTTCCCAGTAATTATCCTTGTTATGGTGGAAGTTGTTTGTTGGTATGGTTTGATGTCTTTAATTGTGCTATTTCTTCTTACTTAATCTGGTTCAAATTTTCGCTGTTTTCTGATAGCTGATTTACAAATCCTGTATTTGCTATGTGGACCGTGATGGTTATTTAATGGAATCTCAGACTGGTGGACATCATCATGATATTTTAGGCTTTTGCCTGCATTCTTGTTATAGTAGTATAAGTTAATATTGTTTGGATGGTTTGAGAGTCTGGTGCTACCATGGTTCACTGGTTTTTGTATGGCGGTAATAGGCGCTTGGAGATCTTGGTGTCTTGGTGAATAAAGTGGCAGACCATGGTCTGGATTGGCCTACAAGAATGAATCTTATCAATTGCATATGTCATTTTGTTTCACTTGATCCATGTACTGCCCAGGTGATTTTTGATTGGTTTTTATAGTATTTTGTCAGACATTTTTTTGGTCCCTGGAGAAATCGTGATTCATGTAGTTGGTTTTATATTTTGTGTGTTAATTATGGAAAATAGATATTGCAACTTGGCTGCCACAGGTTATGATCGAAAGGCTTTTTGCAATGCTCCAAGATGCAGACTACCGAGTGAGACTTTCCCTTGCAAGGCATATAGGTGTGCTCTTCCTGACATGGGAGGGTCATGAACAACTTTTCCAGGATATTTGGTGAGCTTTCTTTCCATGACCTTTAAGAATATGGTTTGTGATGTTGAGATCAAATTGTTGCCTTTGTTAGCTCTTTTCCCGGATTTCTCAATCCATTTGTCTGGTTTTTGGATACCTTTTTCACTTGAATGAGTTATTATTTTGTGTAGGCATGGTTTTCTAAGTTTATTTATTGAAAATAGTACCATTAAGTTTTATGCTGCTTGGGATCTCATTGAAAACTGTAGGTTTTCTGTGTATTTTTTGACATGCCTAGAATTGTCACTTCTTAGCATTAGTTGCAGTGTATGTTTATTTAGTGAATGAGCCAAATCATGTTACAGATAAAAAGTTGTGTTATAGTGCATTGCGACTATTGGGGCAGGTTTTTGTCATTCAATCTATCTATTCACACGCAAAAGCATGTGCATGGAACACACACTGGGACACACTCTCCCTCAAGTGAGACATTTTCTCATGGTGCATGCATGCTCACACATGCACCGTAGGTAATGCCATATGCATTATACGATGCTCTGAGAAATTCGATAAACATAATTTTTAAATTTGAAATGAGAAAAAATAAAAATTTTGATTTTATTTCTTTTTAGTTCATTCATTTACGTAAAAGGCTATTTAACACGGGCACAAGGTAATGCCACATACAGTATACAATGCTCCTAGGAGAGATTTGATAAAAACATAATGTTTGCAATAGTAAAGGAAAAAGAATAAAAAATTTATTTTTATTTTCAGTTTTGTATTTATTTATTTTCTGATGGCTACTTACTTTTCTATCTTGTCTTTCTTTCTTTTTTTCTTGAAGTTTTGTTTATTTGGATAAGCTGAATATTGTTATAGAAATTCTCAATTTTACAATTCCTAATTTTTGGTAGGCATAATTAGCTTGCAAAAGCCCTTCATTTTTTTTTTTAACTTCCATTTCTTCTCCATAATTTAAAATTAAGATTTGGATAAAACATAAAATAGATTTTTCAGGAGAGATGGTTACGATTTTTTAAGCTACATTATCAATGGATTTTGTTGTTGGGGTCTGTGGCCTTTAAAGGCCTTGAGAGCATGTAAAAAAAATTAATTTATAGTGGATGTTCATACTCTAGTGGTAGCTAGTGTAAAACTTAGCCACATGTTTTCATGAGTCCTGAACCTATATTGGAACAGAATGGCGGAACAAGATTTGTGTAGGCTATCCCAAATAATTGGGATAAGGTATGGATGATGATGATGATGATGATTATAGATGTTCATACTGTAGTGGGAGTGTTGGTTGACTAACCTTGGATTGGGCGGTCTATGGCCCAGGTCATATCCAAAACCCTTACTCCTGGGCACAGGCACTACTGTTGAGGGTTTTAGTAGGTCATCCCTTATTAAGGTCAAAGAGATGCCTAGGGATAATTGTGAGAGTCAGGAAGCCGTAGAGATTCCTTTATGTGGTTGTTGGCCCATGAGGCCAAGGGCCATAGCATTAATATCGCCACCGCCATGGCAATGTACACATGACACCGCATTATGAGAAATAACCCTATATAAAGGCAACCCTCTATATGCGTATAAGAGAGTGTCCCCCTTGCATTATAGTGACATGTGCATGTGCATGTGCATCCTTATGAATAAGACTTGCTCTTGGGGGGGGGAAGGATGTGAAATCCACACACTAGATTTTGTGGTTCCAGTATTTATTAGCCAGCTTTGGTGGGCCAATCATGGGCCCATGCGATTGACTCAAAAATGTCATTTTTCTTGACTCATTGGTACCAATCCATTTCTAGTTTTGTTTTAAATGTGATCTTCTTCCTTGACTTTTGATTTTGAGAATAATTGGAAGTTACTTTATTTGCGGTAGAGTCCTTATTATGTGGGACTATGGAGGATTTAATTGTAGTATGAATAGAAGTGGATATGGGTCAAGGATCTGAGGGATAATGGTACTAGGATTCCTCCTTGATCATGGTGTCTGATATAGGAATTCATGACTCAGATTTAATTCTCTTTAACTCACATATATTACCTCGGATTCCTTGGTTTTCTTAGGACATGGCATAACCTAGGCCTTGAAGGGCTATACTAAAGTTTTGGGGAGAGAGGGGGGGGGGTGGGGTGGGGTCTCTTCTTCTCTCTCCTCCATGCTTCATCTCTTTCGCAACACATCTCTCTCTAGGTTAGGTGATGCCCCACCTAAAGACAAGACCATAAGGTGGCTTGAAGCACCTAGGCTAGTCTGAGACAGGGGCACGGGTTGATGCCTGCAAGTTTAAAGGTTGAAAAGAAATAGTAATTGTGTTAGAGGTCACGCTCGCAAGGCCAACTATTATTGCCTTAGGCACTTCCCATATTTGGAGGACTTAATTAGGGTCGCGGATCAGTGCTCTGTTGTCAGGAAATCGGGTGTGGGTTGTATTAATTCCTACGGGGGCGGCCCTCAGCAAAATTCAGATAAGTCTTTCTACCTTTATTTTCAATTTGTTGTTCTTGTTACTATTTGTATTTGAAGTCCTATTGGAGTTAGGATTCGTAGTTGAACTAGGATTCTTATTCGATTTGGGATTCCCACTTGGATTAGGATTCCTATTGATCTAGAATTCATATTGTAATTGTTGGGGGTTTGTTGCATTTAAAGCTCGTGAGTGCATATAAAAACAATAAATATAGCGCATTGTGCACTTTCGTGAGAGTGATGTTGGTTGACTGACTTAGGGTTGGGTGATTTATGGGCCAGGTCACGTCTAAAACCGTTATTCTCTGGGCATAGGCACTACTGTTGAGGGTTTTTGAGGGGTCGTCCATTGTTGGAGTTGAAGAGATGCTTAGGGACGTTGTTTGTAGGCCAGGAGAACTTCGTGGTCTCCTGTGTATCGCTGTAGGCTTGTGAGAGGAATAGCCAAAAGCGTCACCAAAATCCGCACATGTATATATGACAATGACATTCGGGAAACAACCCTATAGAAAGATATGTGTACATGTGAATAGAGAGTGTCCCCCTTATATTGTGGTGATATCTGCATGTGCTTCGCTCTATTTATAATCCACATACTAGGATCATAGTTTTACTATTTATTGGCGAGCTTTGACAGACCAATCATGAGTTTCTATGCATGACTATTGGTCATAGGTCTCGTTGGGTTGGTTTGACAAAATAGTTGTGGGTCATGATTTCTAGCACGATGTAGTGCCTAACAATCACTTTTCTCTACTCATCTGCACTAAAACTTGAAAGGGGCATATTTGATATTTTAGATATTAATAGGGGCAAGGTGAGAGGAACATGGTGGGGCCTAGGACCTAGCTCCCACACGTTGAGAGCCCACATGGGATGGGAGTTGGGGTCCACATGGGCCACATGCCCCACATAAGTGGGACACCCCATTAAACCTAAAATAATTCTTTTTATATGTAGGAAATCTTGGAAAATCTTTGAAAAAGTTTTATCAGAATATTTTTTGGGTGTAGAGAATATTTATGGTTGAAAATATATATTCTTATGACTTTAAAATTGACCAAGCTTTTTTGACTTTGAATTTCTACAAAGTCTTTATGAGTGAAAAGAAATTCTAGTTAAAATAGTAGATGAGTTTTGACTGGTCTTATTCTAGATTGACTAGAAGTGGGTATGGTTAAGATAAGGTGCCTAGATTGCTTCTTAATCGTGATTGTTGATTTGAGGAACAAGTGGCTCTTACTTCTTTCTTTCTTGCTTCATACATTACCTGGGAATTATGGTCAAATTGAATCCTAATCCTAAGTGGAATAACTTAGGGCCATTGAGGCTTGTATAAAGAGGGGTCCTCCTGTCATTCTCAACATTAGTTTTTCAGACGTCTCTATCATTTTCTTTCTCTCATCCACACCATCTACCTTTCTCTCTCCTCTCTTTTAGGATGGCAACAACCCCGGGCCCCCCAAAAAAAAAAGGTTGAGATCTAGGGGTGGAACGCACCACATGGGGCATCGAGTGGGGGCCCTCCCAGCCCATCTTGGTTAAAGGGGATACCAGAATTGCATTCCGCAAAGGTTTTAAAAAGGGTCTAAAGAGACCCTAATTGTAGTAGCAGTAGCCCATGCTCTCGAGCTCCCTTAGTTTTGTGATTGGGTATTCCAAAGGTGCTCCTAGTTCTGAGATTCAATAGGACTAAAGGATCCGAGTGCTCGATCGGTTTGGTATTTCAGTGTAGCGTGTGCTAAGTCTTAATGGGGTAACCCTAGACAAATGTTCAAGTCTTAATGGGGTAACCCTAGACAAATGTTCAGTAAGTCGTTAAGTTGTATTTTCCATTTCTATTTTAGTTCTTGATTCCAATTTGTTTTAGAAGTCCTAATTGTATTAGGAGTCTTATTTGGATTAGGATTTCTACTTGGACTTTGACTCCGACGTAGATTAGAATTCCTAATTGTATTTGGATTCATATTAAAAAGTTTGTATTCAATTTTATGAATATAGTTTTGTTCTGCAGTAAATGTCAAAGATTTTGGATTGTAATTGGTTTATTTTCTTTTTGTGCAATTTATTGGGGGCCTTCTAATTAGAAATTCTAGTTATTAATTAAAAACAATTTTGAATTTATATTTTGGAAATCTACGTTGGCACACCTTTCAGTAAGATAATTCATTTTATGGAATAAAAGTTATTTTCTTTAAGGCACTAAGAGTTAAGATCTATAGGCTGTATTTAGATTTTATTTTCTGTTTCTGCTGTATAATTTGGCATTGTAAGTAGAATAGAGAAAAAATAATAGAGAAAATTTTTAATTTACACCTTGGGAATTCTACATAGTCACTACTTTCATTTGTCGAATAAATCAAAAACATTTTGAGCAAAAGATTTTGGAGGGATGAGGACTTAAGAGCAAGAGAGATTTAATGAATCTGGAGGGAGAAATATGTTTGGTGGGAAATTTAAAGTTACACACGCATATATATTGGGATTTGTTAGGCCTGCTCCTTCCATGGATTATTCCCTTAGCCAACTCTGCATTCATTGGACACTCATTAACCTTGTCTTTTGATATATGAACATTTTGAGCATGGTGACGTTTTGTCATTAAATGAGGAGTGAAATAAGTATTGGAAGAGGACAATACCATTTTAGTTGTTATTTAATCGCAGCTTGGGTGATGTTACACCCCAGCTTGGGTGATGTTACACCCCATCTAAATGATGTAACATCCTTTTTGGATGATACCATTCCCAATAATTGTAATTGAATATATTTATTTCAATGATAGATTAAGACTAGAATGGGATGTTAGGTTTGTAGATCGGTTCCCAAACCGGCTATTTTGGTTCCTTACCTTGGAAGAGCACCGGATTGACATGAGAACAAGAATATTTGGTTCAACCAGTTTGATTGGTCTAGAACAAGCCGACAATTGCTGAAAACCTGTCTAATCGAACCGATTTAGACTGGTGAATCGGTTGAACTAGGGTGAACTGGCTTGTTCAGATTGCTTTTGACCAATTATTTTTTATATATTTTTGTTTATATCTTTCTTTCCAATTTGATCAGTGGACCTACTAGTATTACTATTTTGGATGGGACCGATGCCCTGATTGGTTCTTCATTGGTCCAGGCCTAATGACATTGGTTTCAGCTACAATGTTTTACTTTACCTTTGAGTAATTGCCTAAAAATTCCATTGGCAAAAATATTATGTTGAGGATTTTTTTTTTCTTTGTAAAACCTTGTACTGTTTGGACAACCCTGAACAACTTGGGGTTTACTCCTCGTTTGGCTCAAGCCACTTGAGTGTGGCAAATTATTGAATTCCCTAGTTGTTCAAGCGTCCCAACCCTAAAGAAGGGCAATTTGATCATTTTGAATAATTTTTTTTTTAAGAGGTACTTTAGTGAAATGAAACTTAGAAAGTAAACATTATATTGGTAAATGGGATCTTGACCACCTTAATGATTTTTAAAGAATGTGTGTGTGTGTGTGTTATGGAGGCTAGATCGGTCATCTAATTGGTGAGGGAAAGGGTCCATTCCAATCTTGCCTTGTCGGTTGGTTCACCAGTTAGACCGATACAAATAAAAAATATAGAGCAATGTGAAAAACTTGCCAAAAACTTATTTGTAGTGGTTTGAACTAGGAGGTTCAGCCAATCCAAGTAGCTGAATGAGGCTGGTTTTGATTGGTTCAGCCTGCTGGACTGGTTCTCAGTCCAACAGGTTGGGTCGGCCAGTCCGGTCTTAAAATCATTGTTATATGTTTTTATGGATCTATTTTTATGTTTATTTCTAAAGTTGACAAAGAGAACGTTTCCTTTTAGTACTAGGAGGTCACAAACACTTTTGTCTGTTAGATTTCAAATCGGGTGTTTGTAAGAGTGCCATGACTGGACTAGAAGAATTTTTTTAAAAAATTCTCGGACTTTGTGACACACTTCAAGCCATCTAATTTAACTTCTAATGGCAAGGAGTAATTGTGTCCTTGTAACAATGATAAACAACCTCATAGTATACAATCACTTATTTTTATCTGTCTATGTATGTATATGTATCTATCTATATAGGTATGTATATAT